AAAGGGATGAAAAGTTTTATTACTGGAGAGTAAAACTTTGTTAAACACAAAGATTCTTGAGCACATTTTGAGTCAGACTCAAATGCGCTTAAAAACATTTTAGTATATAACAATAAATTATGTTAACAATAACACCAACAATAATTATAAATTGAACAAATTATTGAGAGATGAAAGAGAGGAAAAGGAGGAGGGGGGACTGAGGAGGGGGACTGAGGAGGGAGAGGAGGGGGGCTGAGGAGGAGTGAGACTGAGAAGGAGAACTGAGGAGGAGGAATGAATAGGAGGAGGAGAAGAAGGACTCAAGAGGAGGAGGACCTAAGAGGAGGAGGACCCAGGAAAAGGCCCCATGAGGAGGACTGGGGAGGAGGAGGACCGATGAGGACTGATGAGGACTGATAAAGAGGACTAAGGACGAGGACGAGGAGGAGGAGGAGAAGGACTGAGGAGTGAGGAGGAGGACTGATGAGGAGAAGGAGGTGTATGAGGAGGATGAGGAGGAGAAAGGAGATAAAGGATGAGGATAAGGAGGACTGAGGAGGAGGACTGGTGAAGAGGACTGATGAGGAGGAGGACTGAGAAGGGGAGGACTTAGGAGGACTGAGGAGGGGAGGACTTAGAAGGAAGAGGAGGATTGAGCAGGAGGAGGACTGAGGAGTAGAAGGAGGAAGAAGACTGAGTCCAGGATCAGGAGGACCCAGGAAGAGGAGGAGGACTGAGGAGGAGAAGGAGGACCCAAGAGGAGGAACCAGGAAGAAGAGGAGGAGGAGGACTGAGAAGGAGGAGTGAGACTGAGAAGGAGAACTGAGGAGGAGGAATGAATAGGAGGAGGAGGAGAAGAAGGACTCAAGAGGAGGACTGAGGAGGAGGAGGACTAAGGAGAAGGATGAGGAGGAGGACCCAAGAGGAGGAGGACCCAAGAGGAGGAGGACCCAGGAGGAGGACCCAGGAAAAGGCCCCAAAAGGAGGACTGGGGAGGAGGAGGACTGATGAGGACTGATGAGGACTGATGAGGACTGATAAAGAGGACTAAGGACGAGGAGGAGGAGGAGGAGGAGAAGGAGTGAGCAGTGAGGAGGAGGACTGATGAGGAGGAGGTGTATGAGGAGGATGAGGAGGAGAAAGGAGATGAAGGAAGGAGATGAAGGATGAGGATAAGGAGGACTGAGGAGGAGGACTGGTGAAGAGGACTGATGAGGAGGAGGACTGAGAATGGGAGGACTTAGGAGGACTGAGGAGGGGAGGACTTAGGAGGAAGAGGAGGATTGAGGAGGAGGAGGACTGAGGAGTAGAAGGAGAAAGAAGACTGAGGAGGATCAGGAGGACCCAGGAGGAGGAGGAAGAGGAGGAGGACTGAGGAGGAGAAGGAGGACTGAGGAGGACTGAGGAGGACTGAGGAGGATGGCTGAGGAGGATGGCTGAGGAGGAGGAGGAGGAGAAGGTGGAAGAGGAGGAGGAGGAGGAGGAGGAGGAGGAGGAGAAGGAGGAGGAGGAGGAGGAGGAGGAGGAGGAGGAAGCATCTAAATGTTATTTCAATTTTTGTTATTTTTTGTCCGTTTTTGTCCGTTTTTGTCCGTTTTTGTCCGCTTTATTTTTTGTCCGTTTTGAAAATATAGCTGCCAAACGGACAAAAACGGACAAAAAAACATGATCCCCCCCCCCCTGTAGTAGTGTGACAGTGGGGTCTATCAAAAGACTGGCTATTATAACAGAGGCTCTCAAAACTGGAACTGTGTAAATGTTTATGACTAGTGGAGACTCTCAAGCGACTGATAAATACGGCCGTCTGTCTGTCGGTCCGTCCGCGTCGGTCCCGTCAGTGCGACGACACAACACCGTCGCAGTTACCATAACTCAACGTTAATAAACTGAAATATTGGCAAATCTCCGAAATAATCCGAATAATTCTGAAAATACATTCCAAGGAGCTGAGTGAAAGTATCTTCGGTAATTCGATTTGTTGCGTGTAATCGTATTGTGATCTGATTACATAGTCGTTGTCTTCTTTCTGCTTCATAGATGATGTACCAGCTCACTGTTCTCCAGCCAGAATGTAAGCAGGTAGATACTCTGGTACAGTGAGAACTGTGAAGTGAGAGTGAAGTGGTAACATTGTCATGGTACTGGTACTGGTAGTCATGGTACTGGTACTGGTAGTCATGGTACTGGTACTGGTAGTCGTGGTACTGGTACTGGTAGTCGTGGTACTGGTACTGGTAGTCATGGTACTGGTACTGGTAGTCATGGTGCTGGTACTAGTAGTCATGGTACTGGTACTGGTAGTCGTGGTACTGGTACTGGTAGTCGTGGTACTGGTACTGGTAGTCATGGTACTGGTACTGGTAGTCATGGTACTGGTACTAGTTATAGTAGTCATGGTACTGGTACTGGTAGTCGTGGTACTGGTACTGGTAGTAATGGTACTGGTACTGGTAGTCATGGTACTGGTACTAGTAGTCATGGTACTGGTACTAGTTATAGTAGTCATGGTACTGGTACTGGTAGTCATGGTACTGGTACTGGTACTGGTAGTCATGGTACTGGTACTGGTAGTCGTGGTACTGGTACTGGTTACAAAGTCAGAATTACAATAAGTTTTATCCTGCTTGTATAATGTACAACAGCATAAACGAATAAGTTATTGACCATAAACTTATAAACTACATACATATCTAGGAATCTATTTTTATAAAGACCTTCATCTTCATGACACAATATCTAACCCATATTTCCCAACAATTCTGAAGAAGTGCGAATCGTTTAGGTTGAATTTGGGAATGTACGATACACTTTACAGATTGTACAATAGGACATAACTTACTCTACACTACTAAAAATACTTGTACACATTATAACGAGTGTTGCATTTCTCGCAGGTAAGCTACAATTTTCAATTAATGAAAGAGGCGGATCATACAACTAACTCCATACTTACTACTTAGATATAATACAACTTATAGTACTAACATTGAATTAGGTTGCACACATTACACTTACACTTACAGTGAATTAAGTTACACAATACACACAGTACACTTACACTTACAGTAAATTAGGTTACATACAGTACACTTACAGTGAATTAAGTTACACACACTACACTACACTAAACAGTGAATTACACTACACTCCCCATAACAAGACACACTAGCTCACTAACTCCCCATAAAGCGCACACACTGCACACTAGTGTGTTGCAGTCCAGATATATCTTATTACATTTTATTTTAAAGTTATTTCCTAACAACACAACAGGGAACCTTGTCCATTTCAGCCGTGTTATTTCTCAGAAAACCCCTCAATCTGACGAAGATAATCAGCCAGTCCAATAAGATTAAACAGTAAATTTCAGCTGCTAATTTACCCGGATAATAACAAGGATTTACCTCTCAGATACCCCTCTATTAACAGAGTCACATTGTGCAGGTTGTCTCTGTTAAACACATCCCACACGGTTACTATACTCTCTGTATACTCCTGTATACTCCTGTATACTCCTGTATACTCCTGTATACTCCTGTATACTCCTGTATACTCCTGTATACTCCTGTATACTCCTGTATACTCCTGTATACTCCTGTATACTCCTGTATACTCCTGTATACTCCTGTATACTCCTGTATACTCCTGTATACTCCTGTATACTCCTGTATACTCCTATATACTCCTGTATACTCCTGTATACTCCTGTATACTCCTGTATACTCCTGTATACTCCTGTATACTCCTGTATACTCCTGTATACTCCTGTATACTCCTGTATACTCCTGTATACTCCTGTATACTCCTGTATACTCCTGTATACTCTCTGTACAAGGTCCTACTGATATTACAATAAACACTATAAATATAGTGTATTTATTACGTCAACTATCACACATTGACACGACTCTCTAAGAGAGAGTACTACAACACAAAGGACCTTAGTGCGACAAAGTGCGACAAAGGGGGGTATTAGCTGGGAACTTGTCCGACACTGCGCCACAGTCATAAAGCGTGAAAGTAGCTGCGTATTTTCAGAACTAGTTTCAGGGACTTTGTTGAGGTATATACAATCAATTTTCAACGATATAATAGTAATATTATATAGTACTATGTGAACTGAAACTGTTTCATATAATTCCTTGTATATTAAAGATCTAGTAGGACTCCAAAGATGGCTCCTTAGATGGCTCCTTAGATGGTGTAAGTATTGCACAACCTTCTCGCACGTTTCATTTCTCTTTGCGAAATGCATAAACATGAGAGTGAGGAATGACAAAGAAATTTCTAACTTTTAACATTTTAGATGACGCAAGATTTAAATAATAGCTCGAAAGTTTGAAGAACAAGAATCCTACGTCTTGAGTTTCTCTTTCTATCTGATAGTGTGATTGCTAAGTTAAGATAACCTTACAGAGAGCAGTGACAAGTGAGTGTATTGGAATTTGGAGGAAGTAACAGAGGATAATAACCCACTTCTCTAAAGTTACACCTGCTCATTCCTCTCCTCTTTACATTGCAAGATCTTTACACTTTCTCCCTGCTCTTTTCTCTATTTAACTCTACTTTCTGCAAGATCTTTACACGAGTTCATTTTTCTCTTTTACACGATTTTATGGCGAATTTCTCTTGCAATCTTACAGTCATTTTATTGAAATTAACATGTAATCAATTATAATTATTGTAATTAACATGATACACACGGTACTTGTTTAATAAGTTCTACCATAATAAAGTATTATTTTAAGTTAAATACATCAATATTAAGATAGATTAAAACTTATACTCCCTTGGGATAATCCCAATTATGTATATCTGAAATTAATTCATTTGTTCCTAAGCTCAAATACTTATAATATTCAGAATTACTGTTTGAAGAACCTCAAATTTAAAATAGCGGAACTTAAGTTTTTTAGTGCATACACACAATCTTATCTTCTCAACGATACACAGGTAATAATATACCCTAATTAAACAGCTGATTACAAGTAAGATTAGTAAGCTAATTACTTAATTACCTGGTTCTGTCTCTTGTGGAGCATATTTCTGAGAGCCTCGTTAGCCACAGCGAATATGTGGGGAGGCATTTCATCTCTCCTCTTGTTGTTGTACTTCAAAACCAAGTCCACGTTGTAGATGGGTAGGTCTTTGAAAGGGTTCACCTGTTAAGTGTAATTTAAATTATTGTGCAAAAGAGCGAGAGATAATATCCCTAAAAAGAGAAGATTCAAAGATTCATTGTTAGTAATAGTGGGCGGGGCTCATCAAAGTTGAGACCATTAGAACAAGCTCAGCGCAAACCCTCCACGGTGCATTATTAGTGACATACAATGTACACTGCATTATTAGTGACATACAATTTACACTGCATTATTAGTGACATACAATGTACACTGCATTATTAGTGACATACAATGTACACTGCATTATTAGTGACATAAAATGTACACTGCATTATTAGTGACATACAATGTACAATGCATTATTAGTGACATACAATGTACGCTGTATTATTAGTGACATACAATTTACACTGCATTATTAGTGACATACAATGTACACTGCATTATTAGTGACATACAATGTACACTGCATTATTAGTGACATACAATGTACACTGTATTATTAGTCAGTAGGAATGCACAATTATATTATCATGGTTTACAACACACAACCATGATTACAAGCACAAATTAGCAGTTGTGAGATTTTTGGTAGCTTTGCGCAAAGTATATAATAAAATATAAGTTTATGTTTACAATATCACTATATATTATATCAGTATCACCTTTATATGTAATGTAGTTATCTAATAAGAATTAAGCAGGGTGTACAGCAGTGCACTGTGTCCAATAGATATTTAACATATTTGCGGACATGTCGCCATTAATTCATTATATTATGAATTATCTAAATTACCTACAACCACCTACACCCTGCACAAACAGATTAATATCCAAACATTTCTCACTCAGCTAGGTAATAAACTTCTAAAAATAACCCTGTAAATTAAATAAAATACTCTAGAATGACACGTACTGCAATCAAGATGGAGTTAACATAAGTGTAGATGATGTCCTTCTCGAAGCGAGTCCCAAGTGAAGAGAGAAGGTTCTGCTCGGTGAGGGTGGAGAGTTGACAGAGATCATCGGGAGCATCACGCTGCTTGGAGTTCAGCACATCTCTTATGGAGGACAAATCCTCTGTACGGTGCACCCATTGTGTTGTTTTAACCGAGTTTACCTGGGATTTTAGAGACAATTTGAAAATTGTTGTATGACTTTATTTACTTACCTTAGCAGCTGTTTAATTTCGATTACTAGGTGAAATCACTAGACATACATCTTAAACCATGAGACTAGTCACTTATCTAGCTAAATTATAACTATTAAAGTATCTGTAATCTGAGTTACATTATTAAAGTATCTGATAGCCGACACTGTAGCACAAATAAAAAACTCCACCCACCTTTCTTCTCAAGTAAAAGTTCTTGTGCGAGCTCTCGCTATTCCACTTTGTCTGCAGTTCCAAAGGATGTTCCTGAGCATTTAACCTGCGTTCTCTTTGTACTTTATTCTCCTCGACCTGTACAGTTTAATCATCATTATATATCTGTGAAACCTGGAATTCTAACTGTCCATAAATTCGCACTATTTTAAAGCTTTAAATCAGAGAGAACATGACCAGTAAAACTCAAAAATTTTTAAAATCGAAAGATTGAACAAATCCTGCCAAGTTTTAACAAAATTTATTTGATATTAAGTAACATTCATTACCTCGGCTAGTTGGAATTCTGCTGCCTGATCAGTGATACCAAATTTATCAAGGGCTTTCTGAACTACTTCCGCGCTTGTCGTGGATTTGATACAGAATATGCTGGCATACGGAGTTGTTTTGTGCAGAGATCCAGAATAAACCTGCAAAGTTACTAGTTATAGTTAACAGTGACACCAGTCAGCAAATAGGAAGATAAACTAGGAATGTCTTCCCCAAAGATACATTATCATTGATCATTAATTCTACTGCATCAATCAATTGATAAATTCTTCAGAATTTCAATTTTCTCAAACAATGGTGTGGGTTATGGGGGGGGGGGGGGAGGGCATAGTAGATCAAATCAAAAATAGACTATGTCAATTAATCCTTAATATCACTACACAGCACCTGATAGGAGTGATTTAATTTTGTTATTAAAATTGCAAGATTTACATGATGTGCAGCAACAGACCTTTAAGTTTTGAGGTGTGAAGGGGTCCTGATTATTGGGTAGAAATGTAGGAGAAGTATGGGCTGGTCGGCTACTGATGGGCACTTTATCAGATCGTGCAGGAGATCTTACACCGGCTGGTTGAACACATTTCATTTTCTACATCTGTCATAGTTCTATCAACATCCTAAGTGAGTTGGTTTAATAAAGTTCATAGTAAGAGGTCATACCAGCTACATCCTTAAACAGTTAAATTTATAACACCCTTGACAGATTTATTGGCTTTTAAATCTTGCTGCATGAGCAAAATAGCAATTAGCAATAAGCAACCAGGATTTCAGCCAGATTTAAGATCGTGCCAGAAATTTAAAGACGAAGCCATAAATATAAAACGGATCGAGGTAGAGATTTAGAAGAGTGGGCTGGAGATTAGTTAGGCCAGAAGTTGATGACAGAGTAAGGAAATGGGTACAAGTCTCGGGAAAGCGGATCATCTCAGCCATGACCTGCAGTTGTGCTGGGTAGATGTGATAAAGATAAGCCTGGTTGTCTGTCTCTACAATTAATAACATTAGCTTTAGCTGCCGCCAGGTGGCCTTAATATGGCCCAAACCCATGGCCATATAGTTTTTGAGCTTGCAGACTTACTGATGAGTCTGACAGTGGCATTATGATGATAAATTGAATGAAATCGTCATGCACACGTATGAACTATGAATGTTCTATTTTTAATTGATTGAAATAACATTAGTTGTTTTCATGATATTTGCTGTTTTACTTTACTTAAGAACCTGTGAGCCTCTGTACAGACCTATCACCTAGCTAGCAGATTATTATTATTAAATCTAAAAAAGCTAATAATTTAATAAATTATTAACAGGCCCCTTAACGTGGGCAATAATATATAGCTAGCAGAGAAAATTGAAAGAAACTAGACCATTTTCCAATAGTTAAAATTGTAAGGTATGATTACATTTGATACCCAAATTTCATTCATAAGATATCCTTATGTTACTTATATACTTGATTGTTCCAAATCACATGAACATGGTATGGGCATCGTCGACATATAATAGAATGTAACATTTAACAAAAACCTAAAAGGCTAAATGGAAATAACACGACTGTTCCTAGCATCTGTGCTTAATTGACGATGTCAATTCATGGCAGCTCGGCGCGGCACAGTAGCGCATCTCGCTGTGAGAAGCCTTATTAAGTGCGCGGCGCGGCACAGTAACGCATCGCGCTACAACATCTGTGCTACAAAACAGACGATTTGTAGGTGTTTAGACAACAATTATATTGTAAGCATTTTATATCACACAAAACATCATGGCTCTTTTAGGGCGCATCATTCAGTACAAATTGGAAAGAAACATAAGTCAAAAATGTATATTTTAAGTGACATTGAAGTATGCTGAAAAATCTGTTGAATTATGAATTATCCATCAAGGATTGTTTTTATTAATCCTTGGCAGTTAAAATATGACAATTCATCATAAAATATTATATTGAAAATAGTATCTAGTATATGGGAAGCTTATCTATAGAGCCCGACTCTCATCAATCCTTACTTTACCTGTGGACCCCTTGTCATACGTTGTATGACCCGCCGCGCTCTCCCTGTATCACTATAGTGAAGCGACCGTGGGGGTCACCTTGATTCACGATGTCAATCCTTCGCATCTCGCCGATCTGCATACGGATTGATGCATTCCAACAAGACACGCGCCAAAGACGCGCAGTTTACTGAGTGATGCCACCGATTTCTTTGGACACATTGATGTCATTATAATTTAGCGTGACCGGTAATAGTCTGTAAATCAGAAGGAGACAACACATGTATAAATTACTAAAAAAGGAGTATCAGTTTACAGGATTGACTTCGAATAGATGTTAGATAGGAGATTAATAACTCTCGTGCCAACTTTAGAGACGGTAACCACATTAAACTGATTGGGCGACATCTGTCCGACTCAGAAAATAGGTTATTCGGACAATAGTTTATTCGTATCCTACTGTACGATTTTCTTGAAACTTTCCATTAAGTATGATGGTTTGAGGACGGATAATCTGTGTAAGTTTGAGCGAGTTTCTATGTGCCAAATTTGAGATATCACTTCAAACACAAGGAAATAGTGCTGTCAGACAGATGTCCTGTTACCTAAATTGAAATGGCGTGTGAATTATTCATTATCATATTAAATCATGACCTATATCTCCTCCGTATAAGTTTTCCTAATCAAATCGTCGTTTACACACGAGACTGCGAGACAATTAAACTTATGTAGGTTAGTATGATATCTAGAGTTGAAATTTCTGCATCCACACGTGTTGATAGATCCAACGAAATAACAAAATATACAGATATACAATTAGTGAACTGACAAATAATCCAATGGGTGAACATAACTTGGACAACACAGACACGTAGCAAACTTTTCTTTTACCACAAACTTTTCGAGCAACAGAATTTAACTTCCCGGTTCATATGCAGTGTTGCTGGTCATTTAATTTTATTCCCATGTGTAGCAATGTCACGGTCGTGTTTTACCCAGGTGTATCTATCACTCAGAATTTACTTTTTATTACATCTAAATAATTTATCTAAGAAAATGTGAATCATACTTATACCGATCTTAGTAACCCAACGGATTAAACCATGTTGAGTGAATGAGAAAGATATAGTGTCTTGCTAACACACCCATACCACTAGCATTGGCGTGAATATCCCACTTCTTCGATTCTAGACTATACTTAGGAAATAACTGGTAGTTCCTGTCGCCCCATGAACTAAGGAAACTACTAAAGACATCAAGGTAAAATAATTTAAATTTGGAACAAAGACTAAAGAGTAATTTGTTCATAGAGACCACATTTTGTTCTCCTTTGAGCCTTTGGGGGTTACCGTTAGCAGGTATAGGGAGAAGGGACTGGACAAAGATATTTGCTGAGGGAGCTAAGGATTTAATTTTGGACATAAAGTTCTGCAGAGGGCTTTTAAGGTGTATAATGCCAGTCTGACAGTATCGTATGTCGTTAGTTCCTACACACACAAACAGTTTCTTAATCTCTAAATCAGGGTGGTCTCACAAATTGCTCGATTAAGTGTAATACAGCATCAATCTTGCGACCACCCTTATATATTATACTTATAGCGACTTTGAAAACTGTCTGTTCACCCTTGGTGGGTTTTTATATTTCCAGTCGCTCGAAGTATCTCCAGCGAGGAGTATGATCTTCTTCTTAGGGGGGCTAACGGGAGGCCGGTGTTAGGAGGGGGAGGATGATGAGGACGGGTAGAAGGATGATGAGGAGAAGGACGAGAAGAGGTAGGAGTGGTGTGGGTCAGTTAGGTTCCTAAAGGAAAGACTGTATCTAACACCACCCGGAGGAATTCTATGCAGTAGTCTGGATTGACAACCAGACTTCATGATATTGAGAGACTGGTCTGTCGCTGGCACAGATAATTCTGGGGAAGAAGGGGTACCTTTCCTGCCTGTAGGGTTGTTGTCGTTCCTTATAAAGTCCAGTGTTCTTGCTGCACCGAACGACACCGTACAAATGTCACTGTCCTGATCAATCAATGGTTCGTTGTCGTCATGGTAGTTCAGGTTAGCTCCTTTACAGGACATACATCTGACAAGACAGGCTGTCATGTTTCCAGAGGTGGCCTTATTGCTGTTAACAAGGTTCATCAGTTCGACAATTTTGGGGAACTCGTTGATCGGCTCGGGCTAGTTGACCACCCTTCCCTACTTATACGAATCATTGCGGGGACTCAGCCACAAGGTCTTTACTTTCTTTACTGTTGTGCGGTCTTCATCGTTATAAGTTCTTTCATTACCCCATCAACCAGGGGCTCTGGAAGGTCAAGCTAGACGTGTTTCACAAGATCCGAAAAATGCTTAGGCTCAGGAGAAGTTGACGGTGATATAGGTTTGGGAGTGAGAAAGGACTCTGTAGAGGGAGTGGTAAGGGGTTCTGTCGGATGATCTTCCAGAAGGATTTCAATGGCATCTTTGAAGTCTTCTTCATTGTCATTAATGAGGGAGAGAATGTGATTTTTTCTGCTCTTGAAAGGCACTGAGAAGAAATTCAGTGATGAAGGTAGGTAGAAGTGGGGTTGGGTTAGCTTGCATCAATGGACAAAGTTACACCAAATGATCAGGATGGCAATCAGGGTACTAGGCAGCAGTCATCAGACATTCCCCGTAAAATGGAATGTAACGGCCTGAAAATAGAGACGGCAGAGGGGAGTTAAACTTGTCTGCGGGTAAATTAAGTACCAATAAAGATCAGAGGGAGAGAATGGATCAATGATAACAATTTAAAGTTATAAGGTAAAATGTGAATCTAAAATGGACTATATTCAATTACTAGCCTGATTGAGAAGTTTAGGACTCCAGACAAGCGGGGGGATGCTAGGAGAGCTGCCGCTGCCTACCCTTTATGCAAATTTCACAACCCCGGGACTTCGGCTGGCTTTTACTCTGACATCGGCTGACTTCCATTGCCATAGTTTTTAAATTATGTTTCTGATCGAAGCTGCAATGATGCTAATAGATTTGATACAGCTCAGCAGTCACTGTCTTCAAATAAAGAATGTTCCAGTTCTGCAGTCTCAAATGTTTTCGCCCAGCTTTTCTTTTCATCGTGGTTATAGAAGACAGACCTGAAAAATACTTGTATTATGATAATATAGGTAATATGCCCAGAATGAGTAAAATTGTATTATCGGCAAATTTACTTATGTGAAAACTCCAAACAGAGTTTTCAGAAGTAACCGCACACGAGCAACTGCACGTAATTCGTGTGGAAATATGTAACTCATTTAACGAAGTCAGTTAAATGAACCTACCTTATTTACCGATGGCAATTTTTTTGCTTGTGATGAAGTAGTCCTCTCAATATATGTATGTAATTTGTTAAAAGAGTAGGATTGTAGACTGTAGTCATAGTCCATGTATAGCGACGGTAGTTTACCAGCAGCTCCCTGTACAAACAGAAATATGGTTGTTATATAATACTACTTGTTAAATTATTGAGTACAATGCAGGAATACACTAACGTGTCTTATATTAACACCTAATAGACGTATAATATGTACTCATAAACAATGATAGTCCCAATTGTTTGTAATTGCTTATAATTTAAACCTTCTTATTAACTCATTTTGATGACTGTGTCTGACCT